ACAGTATGCATATTCACTGAGTATAACTTCAAGAAATATATGATGTTAACAGTATATAAAACATGCCAGGTTAGCCATTTTAAGATGGATTTTGGTCCCCAAAGTTAAAATCTCCATTGTATTGGCGTGAACTATCGCATATGTTGACCCATCTCCGGCGTAGTTTACATGGAAAGCACCCTGGCCAGTTAGTCTATTAGAACAAATTTGCCAGCCAAGGTATAAAATGTCAATTACATTTTAACTGCACACTATGGTCATGTTATGCCACTTAAAACCTACCTAGTCACTCAAAAACTTAAATAATTGTTTTAGTACGGTAGTAAGTGACTATTCTATACTGAAAAATCACAATTACTTCGTAATCTGCAGAGTATAGTGCTGTGTTCTGACGTTCGGCCGGATCTGATATTTCGACGATCAAAACCAGTGGGTGAAAATATCAAATTATTTACCTGCGATTTAGTTTCTTTCAACATTCGAATGTTCTTCATTCTTCTATGATGTGTGCTTGTTCTTGAGATACCAGATTTGACTTGATTTCCTCGCATACTTAGCGAGTATAAGGCGAAAACTCCGAAAAATGTCAGTTTTACAATAGAATCTATAGTCTTTCACTCCTCAAGTGGGGCCATTCAACATGGCGCCCGGCCTCAAAACATGACGTACTTCCGGCTTCACTTTTTTATTGGGCCTTCTATTACGATGCTCTATTCAGTCTTAGTGTATATCAGTGCTCAAATATCATGCCCGCAAGTTGAGGTGTCATTTGAGGGCGCATCTGGGCGCATTGACAGTTAATGAGTTAAACTTCAGTTATTTTATCAGATTCTATTGCGAAGTGATGAAGACACATGTTGTGAAAGTTGCAACCACTTTTAATGAAAGTGATTTAACGGCGACTTGTTAACAATTCTATTAAACCAGGCTGGTGGAAAGGGGGGAACAAAATTTGTTATAATCTTTTTATGAAAATATTTGATGCAAGTGGTCGTGTCCATGGAAACCAACATGAAAATATAGCCAGAAATAGCCTACTAGACCAGAGTATTACTTTGCCAAAGTACATGCTAAATCTTAAGCAAAAAGTAATCAGATTTGTGGAAAAGAATCCCTGTAGTGGCTGCAGTGTTATTTTAGAGCTTTATTCTATTCCGAGAACGGTATAATGAGGCCCACCAAGGGTGTAACCCAGGTTGCTTGTCACTCATTTTGTAGCTGTGTTGTTGCTTCTTTTATTATAATAAATGTTGCTGTCACTTTTGACCCATAACACAAATTTGTCGCTTTTCCCCAGTCAGAAGCTGTCATTTGTGTCGAGACTGGTAACTAATATGTTTGGGGTGTATACGCCGTTATTATTGGTTGAACTAATGTCTGCTGTTTTATTCTTAGTGTACATCAATTTACCAATACCACATGGATTGGATGTGCCAACAGATTCAACTTGTATGCTAGCTTTTCTGAATGAATCACCAAGACAGTATGTGGAAATTGATCTATTAATTGAACAAACAGTCCAGTTTAAATACATAGCTCAGTAATGTTTGTTGTAAGAAATGTATGTTTCATCATTTCCTATTTATAAAAAAGATAATAGGCACTGCAAAAATAATTATTGTCTGGTGTCTCTTCTATCTTGTTTATCTAAATTGTGTGAAAAAAATAAACATATTTATTTGTTTGTATGACTTTTTGACAGATACTGGATATTTGTATAAATTTCAGTCTGGTTTCAGACCAGGCGACTCCACCATGATCAGTTAACATATCGTGTTCATCAGACTTATTTAGCTCTTGATAGTGGCAAAGAGGTGAGACTAATGTTTTTGGATATAAGTAAAGATTGATATGTAAACTTGAATCACTAGGTGTTTGTAAGCCCTTATTGAACTGGTTAAGAAGTTACTTGGGTAATAGGAAACAACAAGTAGTTTTAGAGGGTAGTTCATCAGGTTGGAAGAGCATTGACTCTGTTGTTCTGCAGGGGTCAGTGCTTGGTCCATTACTTTTTCTTATTTACATTAATGATTTTACTGATAATCTCTCTACTTTGCCGTTCATCTATGTGGATGATTCAACACTTATGGAAATCGTCAATGATCTGTTACTTTCTGCGCGCCGACTGAATGAGGATTTGGAGAAAATCTCCACATGGTCAAGCAGGTGGCTTGTTACCATGAACCCATCTAAATGTAGGAGCATGGTTATTTCGTGGAAAAAGATAAAGCCTTACCACCGGTGCACCTCTTGTATTTGAAAGTTAGAATTTTTTACAAGTTGAAAGCCACTGTCACGTAGGGTCTCACATTGCAGTCTGCAATGTCTTGGAAAACACATATTTTGGTATTTATGACAAAGCGAGTAAACGACCAAGTGTTTTGAAATCCTTAATGTTTAAAATTAATCATATCTTTAATATCTTTGTATAAAAGTTTAATTAGACCAATAATGGAATATGCCGATGTAAGGGAGTGGTCATTATTTATGGCGGGGGTGGCACCGAAGAGAAACGGGTTGGGTAAACAAAACTTTGAGTGAGTGAAAGGTTGGGTAAATGAAAAACAAAACAACTCAAGGGTTGGGTAATAAAAAATTATTGTCATTTCCAAAGCATGACCCTGAAATATTGGAGACTGAAAACTGAAAAGCAATGTCAACAGTCATTTGTCAATACAATATGTGAATCAATCAGAGTCACTATCTTGATCATTTTGACAAAACAAATTGTGTTTCCAAAGAAAGTACATGTGCAGACAACATGAAACTTTCGACTGCAGAAAATTTCACAAGCCGTTATCAAACTCATGTCACTACGACAACTGAATGGTATCCTTTTGTTAAGTTTTTGGCCAGGGGTGGGTAGTTATTTTTAATTGATATTTGAGGTTGGATAATCAAATTTTTGTCTTTTTAATGGTTGGGTCAGCAAACTTTTTGACACAGAAAACATTTCTCTTCAGTGCCACCCCCACCATAAATAATGACCGCTCCCTAATTTGGGACAATTGCAGCGAAAGGGGAAACTAAGATGCTAGAGAGTGTTCAATATGAATCTGCTAGAGTTATTACTGGTGCTATTAAAGGCACAAGTGCTAGGTTGTCGAGGAATGAGCTTGCATTGGAGGAACTTAGTATGAGGCGACAGTTCATAAACTAGTACTTTTTTATAAGACTGCTAACATGCTTACTCCCATGTACTTAACAGAATCTTATCTATATGAAATTTAATTGGCTACTGCATGTGCAATCGTCGTTTGCATAATACAACGCACTGATTAAATCCCCACGATGCTGCACTGCAGATTTTCATTGGTGTTCTGCACATTTCTAATTGGACTTTATTTCGTTGACTTTCTCACCATATGCGGCTCAACTCAAGCTCAATTAAATTATATTTTCTCCGAATGCAATGATTGTTGTCATGAATATGCCCAGAAATCTTTGACTAATATCAAATTCAAATGGCGTAAAAAACTTCTGGCTTCAAGATTTCAGTACTACCCTAATTCTGATGCTTCTTTTAATGTAGAACGTAATCCAGGTCCATCAAACGGAAGTCTAGTTCTATAACACCATCTAAACAACATGAATCGCTTACGTTTATTATGCAAAATGTACATAGTCTAAATTCATTACAACTTGATAATTTAACCAACTGTCGTGAAAATAAATTGTCATGTTTTCAAGATATTGTATTGTTAAACCAATTCAATGTCATCGCTCTCACAGAGACCTGGTTGAATAATTCCATAACTGATTACGAAGTTATTCCAAACGGGTATCAAATATTTCGTAAAGACCGTTCAACTGGCAAGCGTGGAGGTGGTGTGTTTCTAGAGGTGAAGGATTCTTTAAGTACAGAGCCTTTCATTTTTAATTGTGAATCGATGGAATTGACAAGCGTTGTAATTAAATCTCTTTCCAAACGTGTTCTTATTGCTGTGTGTTTTTGACCATCTAATGCTGATAGTGACTTCTTTCACAACTTAAACAGTTTTATAGAGTTTGCTATTAAATCTAATCTAAACGACCTTATTTTGCTTGGTGATTTCAACTTTCCAACTATCCAGTGGATAAATGGTTCAGGATTTCCTGTTACGTTGTGTGAGACTAGTTTTACTGATTCATTGCAAGATCATGGTTTTTTAAAACTTGTAACTTCACCAACTTGTGGCTCAAACATTCTCGATCTGGTCCTAACAACCAACGAGTATCTTGTGGAAAACATTGAGACCACAGATGATGAAGCTGTTTCCCTCAAATCTGATCACAAATCGATTGTGTTTGATGTTTTACTCAATCACAAGCCCAAAATTCCCAGTGAAGAGAAAAATCTACAACAAGGGTGATTTTGTAACTCTCAGTGAGAATGATATTGACATCGCATGGTCCAAATGGAAGGATGCTTTCCTTGCTGCTGTTGATATATATATTCCGAGCAGGCAAACTTCACGAACCTACACACACCCTTATTTTACAAGAGAAATTATCCATATACTCCATCAGAAAGAATCTATAAGAAAACAAGCAAGAAAGTCCAATTTGGCATTGCTATGGGAAAAATTTCATGAACTACGAAGGTCAGCTAAATGCATGATCAAAACCAAAAAGCGTGATTATATAAGGAACCTTGCTAATATGATAAAATTTAATCCTAAACAATTTTGGAAATTTTTCAAATCAAAATCAAATAAATCAACATTACCTGATACCATGACCCTAGCTGACTCGTCCCCAAAACCCATGTTTCCCTCCATCCAACACTGTCCCTGTAACTCCAACTGAGTTTTCTGATGTTTCGGTTGAAGAAGTTTGTCGTCTGCTAAATAATCTATCCACATCGAAAGCTACGGGTCCAGATGGGATTTCGGCAAGATTATTAAAGGAGTGTTTGGAAGTCCTTGCTGCGTCTCTTACCGCATTATTTAATAAATCCATTGCTATCGGCAAGGTTCCTGCAGATCGGAAGTATGCAAACATTGTTCCCATTACCAAAAACAACAAAACTTATATTGTCTGTAATTACCGTCCAATTTCATTATTATCTCTCGTGTCTAAAGCTCTTGAGCATGTGCTCTATAACAGAGTCTTATATATTGTCAAACCTCTTCTTCATGACCAACAACACAGCTTTCGTTCGCCAAAATCTTGTATTACTCAGCTTCTTGACGTTGTTTACAACATTGGCAAGGTTTTAGATTGTGGTAAAGAAATGGACATGATCTATTTAGATTTCTCCAAAGCTTTCGATTCAGTACCTCACGATAAACTTATTTTTAAACTCTCCCAATTTGGTATTACTGGGCCGCTCTTAGACTGGTTTTCTGACTATCTGTCTGGATGTAAACAGCGCCTGGTAGTTGATGGTTTCTCGTCAAGTTACCTCGATGTAACATCTGGTGTTCCTCAAGGCAGTATTGTTGGCCCATTGCTTTTCTTGATCTATGTTAACGACCTTCCTGACGCAGCAAAACACAGCAAAGTACCAATGTTTGCCAACGACAGTAAATGCTATGTTCTGGAATAAGATTTTCGCGGAAACGTTGTATTGAGTCTCCAGATTACTTTTTATGCTCCAGTCAGATCCCTTTCAATCAACTCAAAAGGATCTTGGTATACTTATTACGAATAACCTAAGATGGTCGCCTCATATTTCCAACATTGTTTCCAAAGCAAACCGCATGCTTGGATTTCTACAACGTAACTGCACATATTTAACTGATATAAATTGTCGACGCTCTCTCTATTTGACACTTGTTTGTACACACCTGTGTTATGGCAGTGAAATTTGGGCACCCCAAACAACATCTAGGGACCTTCTTTGTCTTGAAAGTGTCCAAAGACGAGTGACCAAGTATATCCTTCAAGACTTCACCTCATCTTACACCAACCGTTTAAAGAAACTTAACCTACTGCCTATTTGAAATAAAAGATATTACTTTTTTTATAAATGCAAAGCTGTTTATTATGACTTAACACTTGAAGACTATATTCTAGACAATTCTACTAATCATCACACTCGCTTTAGCTCTACTGATTCATACCGACCAAACCGTTGCAGAATATCTTCTTCCCGAAACCTATTTTTCAATAGGATAGTGCCACTATGGAACAGGCTGCCAGGAGAAATAAAATCCTCTCTCTATTCAGTCACTGAAACTTAAACTCTTTAATCACTACACTCAAAAAGTTAATACATGTTTTGATGTTAATAGGCCAATGACTTGGAAAACGTTTTGCTCTAAATGTCATTCTTGTTTTATGCCTTGTTGTTCGTAGAAGTGCATGTTCTGAGTTTTTGTACGAATGTAATTATGTATAATACCGTAAATAATGTAACTAGCTATGTATTTTGTTAATTTTATAACCGTTTATAGTATAGTATAGCATAGTATAGCGTTATTTTATGTATGGCAGGACTTAATTTGGGACTTCATTAGTCCTGTTGTCTGTGCCTTCAATTTCTTATCGTAAAACTAATAAAAACATTTTAAAAAAAGAGAGATATCACAATTTTCTTTGAGATCTGATGGCAACTTTTCACTTTTACGTTGTAGAACTGTTCTATGAACTAGATACTATGAATCTTTTGTTCTATCTACTATTAAACTTTGGAATGATCTGTTTTTAGATATTCGTAACTCACAATCAATTTTAATATTTAAAGCAAAGTTACGATCTCATTTTTCAGCAATTTGTGTCAGGGAAACATTCAAAATTTGAGAAAAAAATGAAATGTTAGCACGAGTATTACACGACTACAAGCGTTTTGAATAGCTTCAACTAAACATGACTACAATATATGCCATCTTATTAGTATTCTTTATATAAAGAATACTAATTAGGATGGACTTTTAGATAAATAATACTAATGAAGATAAGTTTTATCGGGTATAAATCTCTTCACGTGACATATGATGGTTGACATGATTTGCCAATAAGCTGAGATGAATTATTAATGAGTGTTTGAATGATATATATTAATATGTTTTTATTTAAATTTTTAACGAAAGATCTTAGAATTTAATTGTCATTCTTTTCTGATCTGTTTCTAGTTAAACCTAATTGTTATGTCTGCAATACTGGTAATGAAGGGGGTGCGCATAAGTGTTGCGAATGTAACAATAATGTGCATGTTTTCTGTGGTACTGCAGTAAGCAATTCTGATGAAGGATATGGCCAACCAGTGATATGCTTTAAGTTACACCCAGTGAAGGTAAGAGTTTTTGTGATATCTACAGTTGTGTCAGAACTGGAGATTTTTTCAATTTCCATATTTGGTAAGCAGCAAACGAGTCTATTGACAGTATTGTCACAACATTTAACACAAAGCTTTGAATTCTCTTTCAGCATCTACTAGTCCTATACCAAAAAATACTGAAGATAGCACCAATCTCAATCAATCAATGCCAAAAGTTACTCAAATTTCAGGTATGCTGTAAAACTGTTATTACTAAATATACAGATTCAAATTCCGTTTTTTCCCTTCTATCAGTTTACCATAACTAGCATTTGACAAATAGTAAATTAAACCTTTAGTTAGATCTATGCCTCTGACGTATTGGGTTTGTTACTTCCAGCGTTTGACGTTCTAAAAGCTTGTACTGGAAGAACAATTTCAAACATGCCATCGAAAAGACAAGAAAGTGGACACAAGAATACTTTTACAGCGATTTTTGTTACTTGCTACAATGTGAAAAGAAGATGTACACTTGGTCATTTTAACAAATCTACTATTGAACGTCACCAGAAAAATGTACACCAACATGGAGAACAACTTGACGTAATATCAGTTGAAGATCCCAGGGCTGTTTCTATTCTGAAAGAATTAAAATCAGCGTCCATAAAAAAGTAAGCGTTCAGAAATGAATTCTAATTTATCTAAGAACCATTAATTTATCTAAAGCTGTCACTTGTTGACAGTGCTATTCGATTTTTCATTAAAATTTTCCTTAAACAATGTTGCATCCTTGTAGGTCTGCTAGCGCGCCTGAATCAAAGAAGCGACAACATCCCGATAACACCATCAGTTGTTCAACTCAATCAAAACGTCCTTGCCTTGATTATCCATCGGCATCGTCGTCGTCCACTTTGCTCGAAAAGCCAACTCATACCTCCGACATAATAACAAGTGAAACCGAGTCAGAAGATGCCAACAACAATTTTGAAGTCACTGTTAAAAGCAAACAGTGCACTGGTTTGTGAAGATAAAGCTAAAACTTCAAAAGTGCACACCAAAGGCAAAGATGAAGAGATTGTCAACTTGACCAGTGATAATGCAGGAAGCACTACTCATCAATCATCCCTAGATTCATTTATCAAATTGAAACAAAAAGAGGCGGGAACTGCACATACCAGAATAGATGAACTAATTAAGAAAGTTGACAAAGTTCTAACGTTAGTTTCTGCTGGAGGATATTCAAGACAACCAAGTTCTAAAGCGACGACTGACACAACCTTGCCTTCCAATGATGAGCTCCCAGGGAATGAAGCTTCAAACCTACCTGAATTTCTCTCTGCTATACGAACGAGTTGTCTCTTTCCGTCCTTGACGACGCAACCGAGACACATGGATTTTACGATGTACAGCATGTTACTGAATATTTCAATGCCCCAAGAGTTCAACAAAAGAAAGTTCAGGGTGAGTGCCTTCCATCCGGTTCTTCAAAGGGATCTCTCTTCTTTGGCCTTCATCTCTAAAGCGAGGACTATGCCGCTTACACAGCTGGGAAAATTAACAAGTGGTATCAGTTCAATTAAATGCTGATGGAGCATATTAGTGGAAAGGAAAGTAAAACCCATCGACATGCTGTCCAATATCACCATTTGCAAAAATCTGCCAGAAACAGAGAAACTTTAGTGGTTAAAAACCAGTTGCGAGCTGCCATGGCAGTTGTGAAGACCAACTCCGCCGCTCGACACTATGAAACCAACATAGCCCAGTTGTATGCTGGAGGATGCAATATAGGAGACTATGGGCACTCACATCACATGTTTGTGCCCATGCTAAGGGCTGACTGCACATATGTAGACAAAGAAGTGTCCAAATTCATGTCGACTTCTCTGCCTAACACCGGACTGCCTCCCCATTTTTATGTCACTGGCGATAAATCAACAAACCATAGAATGACAAACCAAGTGACACTTATATGATGTCCTGTAGTAGAAGGACAGAGGCAAGCCATTGCCCTTAATGCCAGCAGAGTTTATACCAAATCCGACAGTTCTGGTGGTACTGGCCAAGAATTAGCATCAAAGCTATTAAATGATGTACAGAATCATGCCAAAATAACTGGTCGTGCAATCTTGGCAATGCAAAGTCACAGATGGTCAGTATTTGTGTGAAGGATTTATTGATTCAATGAACCAGCCATTGTTCGACAAAATTCCTTTGACGCTTCAGGAAGAACTTTGGTGGCCATTGCAATGGTGTCCTGGGCATTGGCTCGATAATGTTGACGACAACCAATTTGTCTCCCATCTGTTATTACGAACTAATCTCTTTCACACAATGTTCAATCGTGGCAAGATGCACACAGTAGCAAAAGAGACAGCTAAGGAACTTAAACTGCCATTTAAGACAACGGTTTCATTTGCAAAGCAAAGGTTTATGAGCAGCAGCTACAAACAGTTCCTAAAGTTGGAGACATCAATCGAGGCTTACATCAACGCCTTCAGAGATCATGATAATGAAGAGGTGAAAGAATACAAACTTGCTGGTCAAGATTTTGTATTTGATCTCCTTGGAGTCATTGATCTCTTGTGGCCTTTAGTGCTAATAATGCTTCGCGGTCAGATGCTGTCATGCCCTGGATGGAAGATTGCTACTTGGATCCCCCAAGTGAAAGATCAAATATGGTTGCCACCCAAGTTTCAAGAGAAATACCATCATTGTCAGCTTCTCGTTTGCACAAGCATGCTGCAGACATTGCCAAGTTTAAGTACAACAGCATTGAATTGGTGAATTGGTGCAAGGGTGGTTGATAGGAAGTGAAGAGCCGGGAAAGCAAACAAATTGGACTATGAGAGAGCTGATAGATTGTCGAGATGATAGATTGTCGAGATGATTTAAAACAGCTGGCATCTCAAATGGTACTGGCACTCACAGAAAGAAGCGAAAGTGGAATACCAGATCTACTCTATATCTTGTAGAAGTGCCTCGATTTTGGCGTCCTGTTCTCGGGTCCTGTGGCGAAAGGATGTCAGATGGAGCAATCCCCATCAAGAAGTCTTTGTTGATGCAAGTTGACCAAGGTGAGTTTCGATGATGCGTCACATTTGTCTCCAAGCTTCCACATGTTGCAGAAATAATAGAGAAAGGAAATCTGGAGCTTGACGAGTCTTTCCCCGATGTTATCTTTTGGAAACTGAAGGCATTCCTCATCAAGGTTATTTGGGGGAAAGAGTTGGAACAGTTTTTCTCTAAGTGATTCAAAAAGTATGTGGTGTGAAACTGGTCTCAACGCCTATCCCAGGAGGTCAATTTGTAACAAAGTTTGCTGTCTAGAAGGATGGATTTGATCTTCTTGATAAATTTTGATTGACTTTATCCGATGGATCATCATCTAGTTACATGTAGCAAGAAGACCAACTCATCCAGATGCTGTGCACCAACCCCGCTTTCTATGAAGCAGTTGGTGAGAATGTTGCATAATTAATACATATTTTATACGAAAGCCGGTACAGAAGCGATCACGGAATCTTTCTACCGAGTGATGGATGCTCAAGAAAAAGATGGTGGGCAGAGCCAAGAAGTCCTAACAATGCATACCCAAACTGATTGGTGTTTGCCTTAAATCATTCAGTGTGAGAAAGCCCTATCAGGAATGGCAAAACTCTTCATCGAAGGAGATAAGTCTTTAAGTCTCAAAAAGCACTTCATTCCCATCTACAAGGATGCAAGATCAACTCCCTTTTCTAGTATCAGAGATAAACACTAACTTGAACAGTTGAATACTGTTCTGTACATTATGTTTATAAGTATGTCAGTTGTCTTTTGAAATAGTTATGTTCAATAGTTATGTTTTCTACATATATCAGATATTTTTACCAGTTGATCAAAGTGAACTGGAATTAAAAGTCGTGTAAACTCAGTCCAGTGTTTCTTTTCTATCATTCAGCCATAGGAAACATAAGGGCAACATAAATTTTGAGTTGGAAGAGCATTGACCATTGAGAAAGCTCACCAGGCCTTATTGCAACTTTTACAATTAGTCATTTGCACCATGGTGTTTCCCTGCCATACTATACTATAAGTCTATAACTATCAAAATGAGAGTACCTAACTAACTCTAAGAAACCAATCAATTATATTTTTACTAGTGTGTAAACGTAGTAACTACACGCACAACCGCCACAGTGACAGCGTTACCAACCACAGAAAACACAATTCACTCCCCCAAAATGCTAAGTGTGTGTTAGTATGTACCCCCTGTAAGTGCATAATTTCATTGAATATTTCCTTCCTAAGCACACATTTTTTGTCGGGAAAATAAACTGCAGTGCGCATTTAGCAAAGTTAGCAGTCTGGGACGTGTGGTGCTTGCTGGATGCACAGTAACACAACAAGAAAAAAGCTGAAATTTTGTTGAATGAGATAAGTGGTTTCAATTGTGTTTCTATATATAGTATTTTTCATGAAGTGCAGAATTTAATTTTGAATACAGGTCGATTTTCTGTGTTGCAGGGGTAGCACCACACTGCTTCTGTTGTCCTATGGATATGTGACTGGATGTTTCCAAAGAGGGTTAAAAGCACCAAATTGTGCACAGCAGCATCTTTTTATGAGTAGAACAACATGCAAAAGTGGGGCCATCTTGAAACTGTTCATTATTTGCTATTAAATTATACTACAACAAAAAATGTGAAATTTTGAATTCAATCGCGACAATCATCAGAAAGCGACATATCATCAGAAAGCTTGTAAAAAACTACATAAAAGACTTTTAAACAGTTTTTTTATTCTTCAAATGGTTATTGGTTCACATTATCTCGCTAAAAGTCCCTAATTAATTATTCGATGTTTGAAGATGCATTTTTAACAGTTTATAATTCGAAAACTATTTCAGAAATCAAAAAACTGTCTAAACGTCTTGTATGCAGTTTTTTATAAGCTTTCTGGTGATGCAAGTCATATTTGTTGTAATTGAATACAAAATTTCACATTTTTTTGCTATAATAGAATTCAATAGAAGAAAATCACTAATCATCCATTTTCAGGAGTTAGCAGCAAAATAGCCCGACTTCAAATAGATGGCCCGACTTCAAATATCTATTAAGCAAATAAAACTACATCAATGGTAAAAGTTCGATGCTTTTAACCTCAACAGGAACTACTGATCAATAATTTTACACATATCTGCCTCACTACTAAGTTTGTTTGTTAGTGTTTTTTTTGTAAATTTTTCTACACTTATAGCTACTGCATGTATATCTACAAATTGTAAATATTTGGGTGTGAGTCCCCTTGATGGGCCCTTGTGCTCTTGGGACAAACACTTTTATTAAATATGTTAAAAAAAAAATCAGGCATGCATTTTATCAAAGTTAAATTTCTCTCCATCTAGTCAAGTGAGATTGTTACCAAGTGAATGCTAAGTGCTAACTCGACTTAAGTCATGTTTACACTACAAGCCTTGGCCTAGCCTTGGCCAGACCAAGGTAAATGTGGCACGTTTACACCATTACACTGTTTTTTTTTTAGATTGGCTCACTTTGGCCTAGAATTTTGTGTATTTTTATGTGTTGTGACGTTTTCGGCTGGTTAGCCACTAATCTCTCATTGTGGGCACAAAAGCATTTACATTTCCACAAGCCTAGGCCAGGCCCAAGCCACCAGTTGTAGTGAGCCCAGACTTCCTGGCCTAGGTCAGGCCAAGGTCTGTTTACACTCTCAAAATCTAGGCCAAGGCTAGTAGTGTAAACACAATGTTACACTATTAAACAATGTTAAGTTTTTTGTAAAGGCCTTCTGCAACTGAGCGACTTCATCATTACCGGAATCGGACTTCATGTTCCTGTAGAGAGTGAGCATCTTGTTATTGGGTTCAAACGTGACAGTTCGTAGTGTTTGTGATAGGTTGGATTTCAGCAGTCTTTTTTGTGTGTATGTGTTGTGTTGGTACTCAGGTGAATATGATGTTTGTGATGTTACTCTGAGTATGCATCCACGTTGGGCAAGCTGAAAGTTTGCTTGGCCACGATGGGAATCGAACCCGCGACCTTTGGGATACTAGTCCAATCTCTGCCAACTGAGCTAAGTGGTCAAGTCTGTTCGAGTTGATGATATTTTGGAACTGAGTCTAGTTCTTTCGATATCAGTGTATTCTATGATATTATTTTGTGTGTGTTGGTGTTAAGTACTCAGGTGAATATGATGTTTATGATGTTACTCTGAGTATGCTGTCGAAAACTGTCATATAATTATATATTATGTTATGTTTACGCCTGGGACGCGCGAGTCCGAACTGAACCCTCTCGGAAAGGTCCGGAATATACCGGTAGTTGTTATTGTGATTGTGAAACAATTTTGAGACAGCGTGTTGTGAGAGATTTATAAGTGCGTATAAACGTTATTAAAACTAAAGAAAACTAAAACTTATTGTGTTGAGAACTATCAGGGGGCAATTCTCGACATAGTGGCACCTCCAAACGGGATTTGTGTGTCGCTCGTACAAGAGCAAGAACCTGTGAAAATATTGGCATTTATATAAGGCCACGAACGACACGGCCACGTGAAACGAAACCTGTCTTAAAAAAAAGCATTAAAACTAGTGATTATTCTACTGATTTCTTGTAAATTAACGGATATATGGAATCAAAAGTGAAGGAGCTCAAAGGGAAATTGTGAACACTCAAATTTACCGTGAAAAGAAGCGACGAAGTGATTAAAACGAACAGTAGCAAAGCGATATCCAGACACGAAAATTCGATAATAGCAAAGGTCAATGCATGTCACAGCTTAAAGGACAGTATTGAGGAAGAAAAATTCGTAAAAGAGGAGACTGAGGAGCAAATAACTGAGTGGGTAAGTGCTATTGAGGAAAAATTAAAAGCTGCCGACGAAAAAGTTTTAGAACTGCAACAAATTCAAGACGAAATTGTGCAAAAAACGCAAGCGATTGAGAAAGCCGTTAAAAAGGAACTCATGTTTCAGCAAGAAAAACACGAACAAAAATTACGTCAAGAGCACGAGCTATTCGAACAACAACTCAAATTTCAAAAGGCACTAGAAGCAAATCGACAGAGTGAAGCGAAAGCGAGTTCATGTTCAACGAAGCTACCTAAGCTTTCTATAACAAAATTTGATGGGAAATATGAAAACTGGCTGCCATTTTGGAACAAATTCAAGGCGGAAATTGATAGCACTGATCTTTCTCCGGTGACAAAGTTCGCATATTTGAAAGAACTCGTAGAACCAAAAATAAGAACGGATATTGATGGGCTACCCCTAACTACAGAAGGTTACAGTCGAGCGAAGGCAATCTTGTCTGGCAAATATGGGAAAACAAGCGAAATTAATGCATACGTGCAGAATATTTTGGAGTTACCTGTTGTCAAGGATGCCAACCCAAGTGAGGTAGATAAATTTTACAAAACGTTATTATATAACGTACAGTCTTTAGAGACTCTAGGCAAGCTAGAGCGTGTTAATGGGATGACAAGAAGTGTAATCGATAAACTACCAGGTATAAAAAGCGATATTGTGAGAGGGCACGAAGGTTGGCAGGATTGGGGCTTAGTGCAACTTGTTAAGGAAATTAAAGTATGGAGAGACATTAACCCATGTAATGAGGACAGTGGTAAAGAGAAAGGGAAGCGTAAGGATAGATCAGACAAAGTCTTTAACACTGGTGCAAAGAAACACAGTTGTGTATATTGTGAAGACAGCAATCACAAGTCACATGAGTGTACACGTGTTGTCAATGTGAATGAGAGGAAGAAAATCCTAGCAACTAAACGGTT